AATAATAATTCTAGACCAAAAACAATCAAATGGACATCCAAACAAGTTTTCAAGCACTCCAAAAAAAGAAAAAAAAAAGTATTGAATACAAACAAATTTAGCAAAATCTTGTTGAATTTATTATTGGAGATAATTAACCATTTTATATATTACAAAATCCAGGTTTTCGAAAGTTATTACAATTATTGGATGCTAATTTCGAAATTCCATATAATAAAACAATAAAACTCTTGATTATAAAAGGATATAATTGAAGCTAATCAACTCAAAAGTTTACTTCAAGCAGATTCTATTTCTGTAAGTCTTATGACTGATTTTTGGATATCTTGAAGTAAATATGGTTACATTGAAATTACTTGTACATGGATTAGCAACAATATGATAATGTGTAAAGTATTGCTTGATTTAAAACAAGTACTATACTTGTATACTGAAGAAAAGATAGCTTTATTATTGCAAGAATCGATCAAAGAATAGAATTTGGAAAAAAAAACAATAGCAATTACTACAGATAACACATTATCTATGGTCAAAGCACTTCAGTTAATACTTGGTATTGAAAGAATTCCATGCACAGCACATACTTTGCAGTTAACAGTTGGTAAAGGATTAGCTCCAGTTCAACTTCTTATATTGCGAGCCAAGCGTCTTTTGAATTTTTTTAATTATTTTCCAAAACAAATAGAAAAGTTACATCAAGCACAAAAAGACCTTAATTTTGAAAAAATTAATTCTACCATTGGTGATGTATCTACCTGATGGAATTCAACTTTTTTGACTTGGGATCATTTAATTAATTTGAAATGTACTATTTCATATTTGCCAGGATGTATGCAATCTGATTTGAATAATCAAGTACGAATAGATGGAAAACGTCTTGCAAAGATTATGCTAACAATGGATGAATGGAAATTAATAGAAGCTATTTTTGAAGTACTTGAAGACTTTCAAGAATTAACAATAACATTGAGCGGTGCTAAATATCCAACTCTTAATTTAGTTTACCCACATGTTAAAGCTATTTTTGAAAATTGGAAATTTTGGATGTCTTGGATAATTTGAACATTGATTTGATTGTTAACGAAATTTCTATTCCAGTTTTGAACAACAATATAAATATGATTTTTGATGAATTACCTAATTTTGAATTGCAAGAAACTGATGATATTGAAATTAATGACTATCAAGAAATATCAATTGGTTCAAAGAAAAAAAAAAAGCTCAATTTCAATATATCACAAAAACAGAAGGAATGCTAAATTAAATAAAAAAAAAATTTTACTAGTCTCTCAAACAATATTGACAATTTGACAATAAGTTGTCTCTTGTAAGTTGTTTGTTAAATCTTTGTATTAAGGATCTAGGATTTTTAACCTCTGCACAACAAATCGAAACATGGAATTTAGTTCAAAATATTTATAATGATGAATCACAAATCATTTCAACTTTCAATTCTCTCATGATGAATAATCAATCAAACGAAAATACTCAAAAATTTGATGAAAACAGCAATCAACGCTACCGAAAAGGAAAACTTAGTAACAGAGTGTATAAGATAACCCTCAGTAATATTTCATTTATAAATGATGAAATTACCCAATATGATGATATGCATCAAGTAATGCATAAGGTGAATTTATTAGATTGGTGAAGAATACGAAAAAATAATTATCCTATTTTTTATTAGCTAGTCAAAAGTATCTTGGAATTTTTGGTACTTCAGTTCCTAGTGAGAGATTGTTTTCAGATATAGGAAATCAAATAACAATTAAATGAATCTCTTTGGATCCACAACTTGTTCAGGAAATATTGTTTCTTAAATAAAACATGCATTTATTTGATATTTTTTCTTCTTTAAATTGAATGAGATAAGAAAGTTTATGGTTAAAACAATACAATTTAATTACTAATGTTATGTAAAAATTCATCATAGATTCTCCTTGGCACCCATCTTATATCTGAATACCAAGAATACCATATTCCAAAGAATAGTCTTATAATAGTGAATAGCTATCTAATACATTTTAACAAAAAAAGATATTCAAATCTGCATAGGTTTAATTCTAAATGATTTATGGGTTTGGATAAAAGCACGGCCAGTTTAGTCAGCAGTGATTCCGAGAAACACAAAACCCCCCACCATATACTATATGTTGCAAAAAACTTTTTCAGTCAAAAAAATTTTCTTTGTATCAAAATATTTACTCTTGCTATTAATATAAAAATATAAGTTAGTGTTAATTCATTCCAGTGCATCAATAATACTATCCTGAATTACCTGATTGCGACTTTGTTATTAGTTGTTCTCGTTTTTGAAAAGAATAAAGTGATTTGTTGACACTAGAAAATTTATGATTTGATCATGCCAATCAAGTACAATTCATATGTGTTACCAATGTGATTATATCTGAAAAATAATCGATCTTCGAATAAATATTTTCTTTGTATTATTTGGGTTTGACGAAGATCGTTCAAATAAGAAAAAATATTGGTAGCGAATATTCGAATAAAAATTCTTTATTCGAATCCAACCACTAGGGTGGGTGGGTGGGTATGATATTATATTAAATAAAAATCAGCTGATTTCTGTCAAGTCCCTTAACTATAGTAATAAAAATATTGATTACTTTACTTGTTTAACATCATGTTGTATATGCAATAAAGTTCATAAAAAGGAAAATTTAGGTGAGTGGGGCAGTGGGGAATATGTCAATACAAGAACTTATCGCCTCAGATGCTGGGAAAATAAATATCAGAACTCAATCCAAATAGTAACTATAAAAGCTTAGATTGCCCCCTTGGGGCTCTATGTTACATGCATAAATCACATAAATCACAGTCAACGATAGGATTTATTGCTCTTTGAGCCTACGCTCAATTATTAACACGAAATAAATAACAAATAATAGTAATGCTTGTACGTCGGAATAATATGCAGATATTAACATCTGTGGATAAACTTTATTGACACTACGCTGAAATATTTGCGCGGCTAAAATTTTCTGCATAGATCGTGATATGATATCTCGACGTCACGTGATCACAAATATGCTGAATATTACGAAGGTGAAAGTTTCGCCAGAATATAATATGCGTTCCGGAAAAAAATGCCAATCATTAAAAATTTCAATCAAAAATAAATGGTTAGTAGTTGATACATATTTGATGTTCGTACATATAAATACGATTACAGTGAACCCTCTCTAAATGCACTCCCCTCGGGGCCATAGTAAAGTTTTTAAAAAATGTGCATTTATAGAGGTGATTTTATTAAATATTCTATGTACTTGGGACCAAGCTTGACCGTGCATTTAGAGAGGGAAAATATAGTAAGTGCATTTAGGGAGGTTTCTCTGTACTTATAAAAAATTGGCATATAAACTTCTGATGCACCAAACCACCCGTATGTAGCATCACAATACATAAAGAAAAACTGACATAAGAGCTCGTAGGTACAATGTGACACTCTAATATTGATATAATGTTTTCATTTTCCCATTATTACTACTAATCTGTAATCCACCTCCACAAAATGGTTGATTGTCTTGAACGTCGGATTAATTCCTCACATGTTTCTTGTGTTTCGGAGATAATGTGTTCATTCATTGATTGGCTTTCCACAATCCGAACAAAATTTGGCAGTAACGCTATTTTCTCCCTCACACTGAGGATCTGGGCAAGATTCTTGCTTGATAACAGTTGAATGGTGGTGGTGGTCCAAACAGATCTAATGCAAAATACAAAGATATAGATATATCCTCTTTCATACAAAGTAGAATAAAATAATAGACCATACCAAGTGGGATTTCTTAGCTCTCTTTGACAGTTTTGATGGAGTGTCCAAGCATGTTGGTAAATCTACCTTTTTTCGCTTTCGTGATGGCAGTGGTGTAATATCGTAGATATCCTGTAAACGCCTTAATTGGTCTTCTTCGCTACTTTCATCGGTTTCATCAGTTTTTTCAATCAAACTGATCATATTTTCAACAATCTTCTACAAGAATAAGTTTGTCAGATGCGGAGGACAGAACTGAAAATAGCAACCAGTACTTACTTTTACATTGTATTATTTAATATACTGTAAATTAATAATTATGTACAATCTTTTTTAATTATATTGATAATTTTATTAACATTAGCCTTCCATGTCAAAGAAATTAATGGGAGTGTCTTTCCAAATTCTTTAATATTTGTAGCGATAGAAAATGATTTTGATCGTAACACACGACACACATATCCAGCTGGCGAGTCCAGGCGCAGAAGTACCATCATGAGCCCTAGAAATGAAACCAAAATAAGCAACAAAAGGGGGATTAACGAATATAAGTAAAACGAACATACCAGCATGAAGGAAACCAATCATTTCCAATTGGCGGGTTTTATGATCATCATGGTTGAAAGTTTCACATAGGCGATTGAACATGTCCTTCATCATTTTGGGCATCTTAAGGCCTCTTTCACGCAACAACTTCGTACCATTCTCACTCTCAAATTGTCGACCTACTTCTGCACACCCAAACTCTGCTGTTATCTTACGAATGATCATATCGCCTCTCATTCCAAGCGCTTTTCGTTCAATATCTGCTATTCCAGGCACGGTTCTTTCACGATTTTTTCGTGCTGATGACAGCAGGCTACACGACTCCCCTCTATTGCAGAAATTATTTAGACCATGAAAAGGTGAGAACTAATCGTATGTTTCTTGTTTCATACCTGACCACTTTCACTTCCTCAATATCATTAAAAACTTTATCGGTAAAACTCCAAACATGAACAAGTAACCAAAGTTCTAGGTGATCCGTCGTTAAAGTATTTCGATTCATATTCTTGCAATCTGTGAAATGGGAATGCAAACTTAATATCCAATCTTAAATTAATGAAGTTATTACATACAAATTGTATACTGTATTCCGAATCCAGTCTCTATCAAAATCCCTTGACCTATTGAAGTCTTGATCCATTTGATCAGGACTAAAGATTTGTTTCCGAATTTCTGAACTGGTTTTCTATTGAAACAACATGCCAGTTGTTAGTAGGAAAAAAAAAACAAGTTATATAATATATAATGAGGAAATGAAACTTACAAGGTTAAAGCTATTTAGATACTTAATCAAGTCAAGAGGCATCAGTGGCGTTTCTTTAACTTGAAAATGGCGAATTTCGCGTAATTCGCTTTCGGTGAAAATATTTTCTTTCAGGTAAGTATGGTCATCAGGGTCCAAGACAAACGAATGAGCAAGACTTTTTATATAGAGATAAAGTGTGAGTGAAATTTATACATCCTGAAGAGTGTAAGCAAATTATTTACATATAAACTTACTGTTCATATTTACAACGTAGGCCGAATTTATAAAGAGCGTCTTCCACAACGGTTCCGGTTGTGAGTACCCACTTCTTGGAATCATCCAACTTAGCGTAGGATTTTTCATATTTTTTGTAATCATACACAGACATCATCTTTCGAGAGTTGTCATCGTCATTGCATTTCGTTTGTGAGGGACTTTGAAAAAAAACATCGACCTCGTCCTACAGAAATAAATTTTGTGAACAAATCTTTATTATCACAGGGATGCATTCCATACTGACCCTCTTGAAATTAGCTTGTTCCTTAGATTCTTTATTCTATAGATATCAAAGTAGTCATTAAAAATAAGGTTATAACAGGTCACAATTCTCATAAATTACATAATTACACATCCACACCTCATGATCTCTTTTTTTTTGACATAACTTCGTTGTTTATGCTTCCAAATGTTCCACCGTTTATTTCATTTATTACAACCCCCACGTTCAGATTTGGTTGGTGGATATGAACCTGCTTCTTTGTACGCTTTTCTTCCCATTCTTTTGCCTTTGTACAATCAGCTCTAGATTTCTAGCATGAAAATTCCGGAAATTAGTATTAATTTTCGATCAGTATTTTCTATCCCACTGGAACATCAGCCAGACTAGCAGTTCCATCTGTGCCCAGTGGGTACAGTGCTGAATAGACTAACAGTCTTTTTAGCAACAGACAAGCGAGCAGGTCATCTACGCCTCAACACTGTTTGGTGGCTCAACTAACAGTTTTGAATGGCAAACAATCTAACAGATCCTTCGCCACGCCACAATTTCAAACAAAAAACTTTTACTTGCCTTCTTATAACTATCGTAGAGAACCTTTGCTCTATTAGCCCTCTTGCCTTGTTCGCTGTTCATAATTGTTTCAAGGGATTTAAGATATCTATCTATTTTGTTTTTGAAAGGTTCTTCAACGGATTCATTTAAAAAATCAACAATACTCCAGAAGTTCGCTTGAAGTACGCGTGAACTCTTTTGTAAGACATGAATCGACGCGTTTTACAGTGGACCTGCATTTAAGGAGAACCAGTAATAATTAATTCACGTGATTTGTTTGTATACTTATTTGCAAAATCCGTAAATCGTGATTTATAATAAGTGATAATAAAGATCTAAAGTCGGGGTTTATATAACGAAATTAGATAATTCGGAGTTTATATGATAAAATTAGATAAATCAGAATTTATAAAACGAAATTTATAATAAATTATATATTAAATTATAATATAAAAAAAAGTATTTAAATGAAATAATTCTTATTATATTTCTTTTTTTTTAAAGTTAGCAAAGTTGATCCACTTAATTATATATTATCAACAAAAAATACATATTTTTTTTAATAAAATAAATTCACAATTTTATATTTCTATTAATTCACAAGTATATCATAATCTAATTCAATATATATAAGAATTAAAAAATAAAATCTAAAATTTAAAAATATTCAAATTCAATATACACAAAATATTACACAATTAGAAAATAAAATGGAAAATATAAAAAATATAAAAAATACAGAAATTCTATTTTACAAATATTTATAATATGAAATTATAAATTTAAAAAATTATTATAATACAAAAATTTTAATATTACAAAACAATTATTATATTGAAATTTGAATTTAAAAAATAATTATAATGAAAAAATTATAATGAAATTTTAAATTTAAAAGACAATTATAATAAAGAAATTTCAAGATTAAAAAATAATTATTATCTTGAATTTCAGATTTAACAAATAATTTTAATATATTGAAATTTCAAATTTAAAAAATAATTATAATAATAAAATTTAAAATTTAAAAAAAAATTTAAAATATATTTAATAAAATTCAAATATAAAATCTTTTTTTAAATTTTTTAAGATAATATTACAAATTTAACAAATTTATTATATAATTAATAATATATTAAAAAAAATTCACTATATATAAATTCAAATTAATTTATTAATATATTGAAACAAAATAATTTAAAACTATTTTGTTTAATATTTTATAATATATTAAAATCAAAAAATATCAATTCTATAATATCTAACAGACTCTTTTCGCTAATCCCCTTGCCAACCCAAAAAACAGACGTTCTCAAAAATAATTTTTATTTTTGATAATAAAGTCTATACACTTTCTT